AGGCCTACTCAGCTCAAGCAACCTGGTGTCCACTTGCCTGTTCCACTGGCTGTCCCGGCCGGAGGCGGCCTCCCAGGTGCCAGCTCCTTAGCTGAGGCACCTTCCCTATACCAAGCCAGGTGGCAGCTCCACTTCTGTCCCCAGAACCTCGGATGCACCGCCCAGACGCACCGCTGTAGCCACAGCTGCTCTGCCTCCCCTACACTGTGCGAGCATCAGCGGTAGGAACCACATTTTATTATTTTATTTTCTCTGTTTCAGCCTTTCTTTTAAAATCAGGGGGAAGCATGCAGGTTTGTTACCTGTGTGTATTACGTGATGCTGAGGTTTAGAGTATGGTTGATCCCATCACCCAGGTGGTACGCATAGAACCCAATAGGGAGTTTCTCAGCCCTGCCCCCTCCATCCTCTCTCTTCTAGTAGTCCCGAGTCCACTGAGGGGGGCATTTTGATCTTCTTTGTAACTCAGTGCCTGCCTGGGAAATGGCCACTGAATGAATGGATGCAAGAGTGACTGACCATTCAGGACGCTACAGATGCAGCACGTCCCCAGCGCACAAGTCTCCAAACAGCCCAGCCAAGGAGGGGCTCAGCCATCTACACAGTCTCCAGTGGGAGAGCTGCTGAGACCAGGAGCCTGGGGCCGTCGGGTGAGTATCCCCATGCACGCTGCATTTAGCCTTACACTGCCCTAGGCCAGCCACAGCAGGGATAAAGTGAACCGAGCAAGCGTCCCACAAATGTCACATGGGCACTCACCATTCACACTCACCCATCCCCATGCACACTCGCCATTCACTCAGTCATTCACATGTGCACACGTCCACACTCACATATCCGTTCACATACATTTACACACAGAGGCACACTCACACTGACCCATTCACACTTACACTTACACTTGCCCTTTTACACACATTCACTCACATTCACACCTGTTCACATGCACACACAGTCGCACACACATTCACGCTCACCATTCACATGCACACATTCACACCTATTTATACACAATTACACACACATTCACACCATTCACACACATCATACATTCTCTGACCCATTCATACACATTCACACATTTCCTCACATACACTCCCACATTCACACACATTCACATTTGCCCATTCACCACATTCACACTCACATTTACACACATACATTCATGCATTTACAATCATGCATACACATTCACTTTTCACACATTTACACACACATTCACCATTCATTCACGCATTTACACTCACATTCACACACACTCACATTTGCCCATTCACCACATTCACACACATTTACACACATACATTTATGCATTTACAATCATACATACACATTCACGTACATTCACCATTCACACACTCACATTTGCACACATTCACATTCACCATTCATTCACACATTTACACTTACACATTCACACATTTGCCCATTCACACACATTTACACACATATATTCATGCATTTACAGTCATACATACACATTCACACACATTCACCATTCACACATTTACACTCACACATTCACATTGCCCATTCACACTCACAAATTTACACACATATATTCACACATTTACACTCATACATTCACACATTCACTCACGTTCACATTCACCGTTCTTTCACACATTTACACTCACAAATTCACACACATTCACACATTTACACTTATAGTCACTAAATTCACTCACATACATTCACACACACATTCACAGTTTACATTCACATGCTCCCACACACAGTCACACACACATATTCACACTCACACATTCACACACCTCCACGAAGTTCTCACCTGGGCCAGTTCCCTGTTCTCAGAGCCTTTCTGGAAGCCATCATGGAGTGCACATTCCCAGATCTGAGCTCCTAGAACCCACCTGCCCTTATCCTCAGAAGCCTCACCCCAATTTTCATTCAGGCGTTCACCCCTCCCTCACCCAGTTCAGCCCACCTCCAGCTCCCACCCTGTTTGTTTTGGGCCAATCAGCAAGTGCCACCCCAGGCCACAGCAACTGGCCCAGAATTCAATGACTCAAAAAAGATTTTCCAGGGGGCTTCTCAGAAGGAAGTGCATAGACATCAAACTCTGAACTACTGGGGACTCAGCTCCAAGATGAAGCTGCTGCTCAGAGGCTAAGGGGGCCGAGAGCATCTCAGAGGGCCTGAGCCACAGCAACCCAGCACCCAGCCCACCAGCCGTGGCAGCTGAGCAGAGGGACCCAGCGTTTGGCCACCACCATGACGTCCCCACATGCAGCCTGGTGTTGGGGTGACTTAGACCAGGGGTATGAGCACTTAAATTCCTAGAGGTAGGGCCAAGGGTCTCCAGGCCAGTAAAATGGAAAGAAGCTACACCAACATGATTGCCAAATCCAATCAAGAACAAGGGGTGAGAGGCCGGGCCAGCAGTGGGGCCAGTGTTGGGGCAGCAGTGGAAGACTGGGGAGCTGGCAGGAGGGGAACTCCCCACGATGGAACAGAGGCTTTTGAGAGGCTCTGATGGCAGAGTCGGTATGGAGTCTGAGACCTCGAGCCATTTGCACTGATGAGGTGTGTGTGTGATCATTTTAGCTGCCAAATCCATGACTCAAAATCCTGCTCCTACCAGCAAATGGATTCATAACATAGAGTAGTAAACAAGTAAATCAATTTTCTAAAGATGTTCATGGGGTTTCAAAAGTGGCCCACACCTTCCAGGAAGCCATGAGAAAGCCTCGAGGCGGGGCCTGGCCATCCCTCAGGCACCAGGGTGCTGCAGCCCACCCCACAGCCCCACACAGGGGTGTCCTTCCTGGACCTCCCTCTCTCCAGTCCTGGCTCCAATCCCCCATGTGGTCGTGCCCACCACACCCTGGCTCCAGGAGGTTGGAAGGGAGCCATGTAGAGGGCTGCCCAGGGTGGGCCTCTTCCCAAGCTCATGCTTGGCCCTCCCAGGGTATGGGATTGGCATGAGCCCCCAGCTTCAGTTGAGTTCCAGAACCCACAGCCCTGGCTGCTGTGAGAGCCGGGAGCCCTGCCCAGGGTCTGGACCTCTGCAGCCACATGTCGGCCCAAATCAAGCCAGATCGCCAAGCCCTCCAGGACACTGTGTGTCCAGCTGCCAGGCAGGAAAAACAGCCGGTACCTGTCCCGGCCTCCACCACAGCCCACCTTCACCCTGCCTGTTGCAATTTCCTCCATTCCATCCTGGACTGGGCCCTCTGACCTGCCCTGCCTTCAGCTCACTGGCCTCTCATTCAAGCTGCCTGGCTCTGATAACCCCTTGCACTGCATGAACCTCAGGACACCCCAGCTCCCAGACACACATCTCAGTTCAGACATTGGGCTACTGCCCCTCCCCAGCAGGGTGAGAACCTCACACCTGGCCTCCCTCCCTCTGGAGCTGCAGGCTCCCCAGCCCCGATCCTGGCCCTGCTCCCTCTGACAAGAAGCTCCCTGAAGGCCCTGACCCTGTGGTGCAGAGCAGGGCTGCTCCTTAACCCAGCAGTGAGGGCTGCAGGTAAACCTGCGAGTGGCCGTGGGACGTAACTTGGAATCTCCTATTGTGATAAAACCCAGTGTAAATGGCTTCTCCTGGATAATGTGTCTTAGAGGAGCTTTTTTTTTTTTTTTAATTTTCAGGTTGAAATAAAAGCAAAGACTCCCCATGATGGCACTGTGGCTGCACGCCCCACGAAGCGCAGGGCACGTGCACCCAGGTTTGGAAGTGGGCTGGGCTCCAAGCCGGCTCCACCCTCCATGAGCTGTGGCCCTTGGGCAGGGGCGTGAGACTGCCAGGGAGGAAGAAACGAAGGAGGGTGTGAAGGAAGGCAGGAAAGGTGTGAGCTCTCCAAGCAGGGGAGACCGGAAAGGGGCTCTGTCCCAGCTGCTGCAACTTCCACTGCTCCTAGAAGCCATGGATGGCAGAGCCAACACTATCTGCCCTCCACAGGACCAGGCAGGGCCACAGCAATGACAATCCTGGCACCTGAAGCAAAGCCCAGGGGCTTTGCCCAGAAATAAAGCTCAGACTCTGACAGTCACCTCGCTCACCGGCTTTTACTATGACTAAAGAGATCCAGGAATTCCTCCCACCTGGAAGTGCAGGCTGCTCCTGGCCCATGGGCACAACCTCGCAGCTCCTGGGAAGCTGCCGCTCCACTGCTGAGTGTCACGCCTGCTCAGACCTGCCAGAGTCTGCCAATGGAGCTGAAGCACCCAGGGTAGGGGCAGCGGGGGTCATGAGATGAGGAACAAGCCAGGCCAGCTCGCCCTGCCCCCACCCAGGCCCTTCAGTCTCCACCAGACACAAGCACTGCCCTTGGTCTGGGGTCAACTGCTCAGACCCATGTGCTAGTGCCACCACTCGCCTGCCGGTAACTGGACCTCCATGGGCCTCGGCTTCCTCAACTATGAAAGGGAGTCCTGGTATCTGACCCCCAGGTTCTCATACGTTTTAAATCAGGTCACATCACTGGGCATGATGGCTGATGCCTGTAACCACAGCACTTTGAGAGGCTGAGGCGGGCGGATCACCTGATGACAGGAGTTCAAGACCAGCCTGACCAACATGGTGAAACCCCATCTCTACTAAAAATACGAAATTAGCCCAGTGTGGTGCCTCACACCTGTAATCCCAGCTACTTGGGAGGCTGAGGCAGGAGAATCACTTGAATCCAGTAGGGGGAGGTTGCAGTGAGCTGAGATCTCGCCATTGCACTCCAGCCTGGGCAAAAAGAGCAAAACTGAGTCTCAAAACAGTAAAATAGAAAAGGTCACTTAGGACAGCATTCAGTGGACTTCTCAGGCAGAAATGACTCGCCAAGCCCCCTCAACCAAGCCCCAAGTCCCTGACCTCCAGCTGACCACCCCTAAAAATGCCAGGGGACAGAGGCTGAAGCCCTGTGGTGTGCCAGCCCAGGGAAGCAGGCCTCCAGGGGTGGATCGCTGCAGCAAGAAAGCCACAGATAAATGCAGTCCTATCCACACTCACAGACACGAACAGGGAGAATAAATACACGCGTGTTTTCTGAGTGTTTTTATCAGATTTTTTGTTTCATTTTGTTTTGAACACTAAGATTTATTTTCAAACAGCACACAGACCACCTGCGGGGCAGGGCCAGGCTAGGCTGGTGCTGGGCCCCACCCACAGCAGCTGCCAGGAAAAGAGAACCTTTGCCCGGTGGTGCGGCCAAAGCTTCAGGCAAGCATGGTGGCTGGCATAGCCCCCAGCCCTGCTCTGCAGCCAGACACATGCGGGCACAGGCAGGGGCACCAGGAACTCAACTAGGGGACACAGCAGCTTCAGGAACACTGGTGAATTCGGCCGGACTCACCGGGACACGGCTCTTTGGAAAACGACCTAATCTTTGGGAGAACACCCTCTGCCTGGAGTCTCCTCTTGATTTCCCTTTGCTCTTCAAAAGATTAAAAACGAAAACAAAACAGAACAAAAAAAAGAACCACACATTTTTCAGGAGGAGGTGCTCTTCACACGCCGGGAGGCTGCACAGGCCCCGCCATCACTGGACCCTCTCGGTGAAGTTCTCGGGGAAGACACCCCAGCACTTCTCCAGTTCCTTGTGCTGGTTCCAGTCGCTCTCCTTCATGCCCATGAGCCAGCCTTCATCCTGAGGGGCAGAGCACCGGGTCGTACAGGGCTGGGCAAGGGGCTCAAACCCACACGGCACGAGGCCCACTCCAAACTGCTGGGAAGACCGCTGTCCTCCTGCTGCTCTTGGCCCTTAGCCTGCCTCGCCCACCTTGAGAATACCTCCTCCAGGCAGTACTCCCTGATGCAGCTGTCTGAGGCTCCTGTTCACAGGCACCACAGGAGCCGGACTGTCATCCTCAGGTGGATCTAACCGTTCATAGCTGGTTTTGGTGAGTCTTGCTGCTCTCTGCTCTGACTGTGTCTAAACAACTCCTTCAATCCAGGCCAAGAGGCTCCTACCCCCCAGGTGCACACAGAGCACATCAGCCCTTCCCGGTTTCCAAACTTCTGCAAACAACCCCAGAAAATTCTGGAAATGGCAACAAGTTACAAGTTCTAAAGGGACTTGGGGCTGCCCCACTAGCCCCTCCAACTGCGACTTTCCCTTTGCTTCAATCCTGACCCTCGCAGGGCCTTCTCTGGGAGAGCTGACAGCCCCTGGCCACCGGCAGGTCACGGGGAGCTGCGTGGCCATCGACTCCTGCCAGTGGCTGGGCCAAGGTTGCCCCTGCAGCTGGACTGTGCCTGGGGTCTACCTGGGGCTCTGTTATTTCCTGCTGTGTCATTTCCAGCCTTGTCACAGACCCTTCTCATGCCCTATCTGAGCCCCCTCAGGCCACCCCAGAGCAACTCCCACTGTGGGCTGGGTGTTAGGAGTCTGCTTGAAATCCTACCCAGACAGGGCTGCCCCACTGGGAGGTCAGCGAAGATCTGGGGCCTTAGGAGAAAGGGTCAAATCAGTGCTAGGCCCAGGAGGCCCTCATCACTCAGGCCTCCCACCCCAGGGCCTCAGTAAGTAAGTACCTGGTACCCCTGCATCTCAGCCCAGGACCCCCAGCCGCATTGGCCTAATGCCAGACCCAGCCAGACCCACTGTTACCCTCAGCCGCTCTGACAACCCATTCATACGGATGTGCTGATGACTAAATGTGTTCTCTGGAAGCCAGAAGAGGCCAGCCAGGCCCTTTCTTTGTGCACAGCCTGAGGCACTCAGGGGCTGAGCCGTGGAGACAGCTGGATGCCCACATGGCACCAACGACCCCCTACAAGCAAAGACTGGCTCTCCGCTCTACACAGCAGGAAGGCTCCTGCTGAGGGTCCATGGCCCCCTGGGCTGGGCAGCTGACCCAGATGCAGGAGGGTCCCAGGCCCAGGAGGGACGCATTTGGCACCCACCCAGGCTCACCAAGAGCCTTTACTTCCAGGAGATTAACATGGAGAGGCCACAGCAGAAGGAGAAGGGTCTGGAAGGCCTCTTGGGTGGGCCTCAGCTGGGGACACAGCTGGGAAGCCCATGGCCCCGTGCGGAGGGGGCAGGCCTTGCCTTGAGGGATGGCACATGGGGCATCATGAGCCCAGCCAGTGCTCCTTGTGCCATCCGGCTGCAGGGTGGGCACCTTGTGGGAGGGGTAGGAGGAGTCAAACATCCTGTCCTGGGAAGAAAGCAGGCCTCGGGAACCACCAGGAGAGACGGGGAGAGACTCAGAGACAGAGCTGAGAGCACCTTAGCAAAGGGGGACGTGGAGGGAAGAAAGCAGAGGCTACAGGAATAAGGGGGCAGGGAACAGGGAGAGAGAGGGGCCTAAGGGGAGAGGGGCCTAGGAAAGGAGAGGAGAGGAAAAGTCCAGGCATGGAGGACAGGGAGGAGCAGTCGGCATGGGAGCCCCGGCGCTCACGGGCCTCTGCTGCCCCTTGCTGGCCAGTCCCCACCACAGCAGTGCCAGCCGCAGCCAGGTTGCCTGCCATCCCTGTGAGCTCTGGCAGCCCCACCAGGCCCTCACCTGCTCCTCAGGGTTCTGGAAGGGGATCACCAGCACCACGTCGCCAGCCTTGAGCTGCAGCTCATCTGTGTCGGTGGCGGTGTAGTCGTGCTGGGCCTGCACCTGCGGAGGATGCAGAGAGCAAGCCAGACCTTCCCCGCCACGTCCAGCCCTGCACAGAGCACGGGCCTTGTGGGTGGGAGGTCAGGTGGCAATGTGAAGACCAGGAGTGCTAGAAAGCAGCAGGACAGGATGGGGCTCAGATGCCACCATCTGGGAGTGACCTAGTAGCGCCTACACGACTTTGGGCAAACCACAGAGCCTCCTGGGGCTCAGGGTCCTCATCTGCCCACCAGGGCACAGAAGGACCACAGCAGTCAGAGGCTGGGCTTACCTTGAACATGAAACCTGGGGGTAGGTCCAGGCACCAAGCCCCACTGCCACCCTCCACGGTGCCATTCACAGTTGCTAAAAAGGTCTCCACCACGACAGCAGGAAGAGAGCTCTGGGGGCAGAAGCACGGGTCAGCTGGGCAGGGAGGTGGTCCAGAGACAGCCAGGGCCACCGAGGAGAAAAGGGGCAGGGAGGGGAGAAAGGGGTCTGTGCCTGGTGCCAGTGCGGCGTGCCTCCACTTCCTCAACAGGAGCCAGGCAAGAGCACAGGGGAGCCACGGGCAGGCAGGCAGGTGGCAGGGAGGAAAAGGCAGGGCTTGGCCCCTGCTGTCTTATGGAGGCTGCTTCACTTGCCGCCGTCTCCCCAGGCTCCTGGGCTCCAGCCGCAGGTTGGGTCCCACCTGCCACCTCCGAGACCTCTGCTGGCTGCAACATAAATGCCGGCTTGGGGTCAGACACAGGACAGGACACAATCAGGACACGGGAAACAGGCCACAGGAGGGCAGCACCCAAGTGAGAGGGCCGCAGGCATTACCTGGCTGGCAGCAAGGTGAGAGCTGGCCAGTGCCTCGAAGAATCCAGGTAGCTACCCCTGCTGGACAGGCTGGGCCCTGGGCCCGGGAAGCAGCTGAAGAGTAGGCACTGGCAGGCTGGCAGGCCCCGGGATGTAAGTGACATGCTGTGGAGAAGCCCATTGCAGGCCCTGGAGTGCCACCCCTAACCCTGCCTCATAAGTCCTGCCCTCTCCGCACCAAGACCTCCCCCAGCCACAGCCTCCATCCGCCCACCCCACTTGGCCCGGCACATGGCAGGAGCTTGATGAACCTATAGACGGTCCGTGCCAGGGGACAGCAGCACACACCTGTCCCAGCCTAAGCACAACACAGGGTGGGCACAAGGTGACGGTGAAGATTAAAAGAAAATTCTGGAAACTGCCTGGCATAAACCAGTAGGTGCTCTAAATGTTGCTCCTCCTACTCTGGGAAGCCAGGCTGGGAGGCTGAGCTGAAGTGGGTGACCAGGATGGACTGATGTGCCCAGCCACCCTCCCTCCTGACAGCCTTGGTGACAAGCCGGTGCTGGGGCAGCCTTGCTCAGAACCTTGTCCTCACCCTCACGTCCATGGAGGCCTGGTCCCTCCTGCACCCCCTCCTCTGGGCTCTCCTTCCATGCTGCACCCTCAGAGACTGGGGACAAGCCAGACAGGGGCTGGAAGTGGGCACTTACTTGGGCGGGCCCCGGCTCGGCAGTCTGGCTGGGCCAGGCCACAGCAAAGGTGCCCTCAGCAGCGCTGGGCTCCCTGGAAGGCAGGCTGCCAGCTGGACTCTCTGTGGGCTGGTGACAAGCCACTAGGAGAACAGAGAGGGGGCGGGGAGGCCAGGGCGGAAAAGCAAGGGGCAGGATCACAAGACAAGAGAAGATGTCACCAGCAGCTGGGGTTGGTGGCGGCAGGGTGGGAACCAGTGGAGCCCAGCCGGCCACCCACCTCCCACATCCTCACTCTTACCACCGCCAACGGGACAGGCAGGTGTGACTGTGCTGCCCAGGCTCAGCACCTCCGAAATCCACTTGTCAAAATGGCCCTGCCAGCTTGCACCAGACTGGCTTTTTCTGGCCTCCTCCAGAGGAAAATCCTGCTGTGGAGCCTCTGGAGCTCCCAGGCGCCTAGGCTGCCAGTGCATGCCCCGAGGGCACCGGCACACTCACCTGCCCCTCCCAGCACCTCTGCCCATATCAGGGGGTCTCAGGGACGGAGCCCAGGAGACCCTGTTGGAATTCTGGTTCTACCACAAGTTTTTGGGCAAGTACCGAGCCCTCCCTGAGCCTCTGTGTCCTGAGCTTTCAGGTGACAGTGACACAGGTCCTGTGTGACCTGGCCTTGCACCTGCCTTCCCTGACTCTCTCAAAGCACCCATTCCTCCCCTTCTCCCTTTCCTCCCAAACAGCTCCCCACCGTCAAAATGCTCATAGAGGCCAAGAACCTTCCACCCTCCTGCCCCACACCTTGAGGACACTCATCCATCCTGGATCACTGGCCTGCTTCTGCCTGGGGGCAGACATTCACAGGCTCTGGAAACAGGACCAGCTCTCAGGAGATCCCTGTCTCTAGCTAAACCAAGGAGCCCCTTTTCCGAGGGCCTGCCAGAGGGAGAAGCAGCAGAATGGCTGGAGACGGGCGGCCTCGCCAGCTCCCTGTGCATGAGCTCATGCCTGTGTGTGCTACATGTGGGGTGTTTGTGGGGTGCCTGCACCTGCAAATGGGCTAGGAGGAGGCCAAGGCATGTGGGCCTGGGCACACATGGAAGAGTGGCTCTTCCAGGGGCTGGACACAGAGCAGAAGTGTCAGGGACCCTCTCTTGAGAGTTCTCCCAGCTGACCAGGGCTGGCACTATCCCGGCGATGGGACATGGTGGCCCTGGCCACACTGTGACAAGCCTCCCTGTAAGCTGGGCCAGACTACCATGGGAGGAGGGGGCTTCCTTAGAGCCCCTGGCACGGGTGGGGACAATGACTCCAGGGAGCCCTGGGGCCGCACCCATGCTGAGGCCTAGAGGGCTGGCCTTGAGGAGGCAGTCAGCTCCGGGGGAGTTCAGGGAAGCCCCGCCACCCCTGGGCAAATCTGACAACACGTCAGCCCACTGCAGCACTGGTGCGATGCGCCTCCAGCACAGGCACTCCCACCCGGGCTCCACCATGAAGGACGTGAGACCTGGGGCTGTGGGCCAGGCTCCCCAGAGGCAGCTCCCCAGCTGAGCCAAGAACCCATCAGGAGAGACCCATAACCCTCTATGGGACTCCCCGTTGAGCCAAGGGCCCATGGGAAGAGAGCCAAGTCACCCTGGGGGCTCGCTGCTACACCTGAGCCTTCCATGCCTCTTAGGGAGTGTGCACGCAGCAGCTCTGCTCTGCAGCCTGGCCACTGCCCCTGCCCTCGAGTGACTGACAGCAGCTGTGGGAGCTGAAGTCCTGGTGCTTCAGCCATTCCAGGGCGTTCCAATGCTCCCTGTTCCTGGAAGCCTTCCCTGACAGCCACGGGTCCTTCACGCTCCCCGATCCCATCTGCCATAGCACCCACCGCACCTCGAGGGCACTGCTGGCGTGACTGCTGCTGGGGAGGGGGCACCTCTCCCCTCTGTGGCCCTGCATCTGGCCTTAGTACATGCTGGGAGATGGGTGATGGAAGATGACGGAAGATGATGGGCAGAAGGAAGTAGGGGTGAGAGAGGGAAACTGACACTCTCTGGCCAAATTCCTGACTCCTGAGACAGAAGCATAGAGGATGAAGGCCATGCACGCCCAAGAGGGCAGGAAGAGAAGAGGAGGGCTGGGCCGCGGCGGCCACAGCTGACCTGGGAGGGGGTGGTCACGCTGATCTCAGGGACAAACGTGTCCTCAAACAGGCTGAGGATTTGCTCCTGCTTGACTTCCTTAGACGGGGTGTGTTTGGGAGGCGGAGGGACTGGTGGGCCCTTCCGGAGCTGTGGGTCAGCGGCGGGTGAGGGGCCGCACGGGAAGGCACAGCAGAGCAAGGGGTTTGGGGGAGACAGACAGAGACAAAGACACGGTTAGTCACGTCCCAGGCCATAGCCCCACCCAGGCCACTGAGCAGGACACAGCAAATGAAGAGCCACTACGCCCCCCCAGTCCCCCAACATAGACACCAAGACCGCAGGCCACCCCCGGGAAGGACACTGAGGCAGGAGGTCCAGAAACGCTGTGTGGGGAGAGAAAAGATAGAGAGGTGAGGGGAGAGAAAGGAGGGAGAGAGAAGAGAGAGACCCCAGGCTGCCCGCTGGCCCACTGTGGGAGGGTCTGGCTCCCATCAGCCTGGTGAGAAGACTGGGAAAGGAAACAGTCGCTGAGACGCAGTTGAGCCCCAGCCTTCTCCTGCCCACCTCTGCCCTTTCCGCGGGCCCCTCTCCACTCCCAGGCACAGTGCTGCCCATGGGGAGCCCAGCTCAGACTAGTCTGTCCCTGCAACGCCAGTGTGGCGCCAGGATGGAGCAGAGGCCACACCCCTGCCTACCAGGTGGGGGATCTCAGGCAGGTCACACCCCCATGAGGCTAAGCTTCCTCCAATCAGGTGATGACAGCTTCTGCTTCATAGGGGGATTGTGGGGACTCCGTGAATGAAAACACAGAAGGCACTGGCACCGTGTCCAGGCCAGGGGAAGCACTGTTCGGTCCAGGCTCCCACCATGTCCTCGGCCTGCATCCTAGTCAGCTGTGGAGCAGGGCAGCAGCAGAGAAGGGGGAGCTGCGGGACACCTGGCTGTGAGAATACCCCACCTGGCCGGCCAGCACCTGGAGCCTCTGCAAACACCTGAAGGGCCCACTGGGGGCAAGAGGGGCGGAGACAGGGACAGTCCAGAGCCCAAGACCTGCCCCTTTAGGCACCCCACACTCTCCCCTGAGCTTCCTCTCTCTGTCCCTTTAAAGGTCCCACATGGCCACCTGGCTGGGCTCCTCCCTCAGGCCCCTTTAAGAGAGACAGGCCAGGAAGAGGGGTAGGCTGCCCACTCCGGAGATCCAGATGCGCTGTGGGCTGAGGGCCCAGAGCCTCTGCTAGGGAGGAAAGGAAGATGCAGACAGAGTCAAGCAGCGAAAAGGCCAGGGAGAAGGAAGGGGAGGGTGCTACAGTGGGGGCGGGAGCTGGGGAGAGGTGGCAGTCACAAATGCCTCCCAGAAGCACAAAAGGCTGGATGGGGTGGAAGAAGACCGAGGTCCGGGCCCACCGCCCACTGGGTGAAGCTCAGGTCCACAGCTGCCCAAGCCAGAAAGGGGACAGAGGAGTGGGAGGATGGGGGTCAAGAGCAAAGCCAGAGGAGAAAGAGGGAGGGCAGGGGACCTGCCACTGAGCTATCACTCCTACCTGAGACAGGGACTTGGGGAGGGCTGCCCCAGGCATGGCCCCGCTGGCTGGTTCTGGTTCCTGGTTAACTCTTATCTCAGGGGTGGCGGCAGGGGAGCCATCTGGAGGCGAAGGGCTCTTGTTCCCTTTTGCAGGCGCGTTGTCACTGTGGGGACAGAACAAGAAACGGAGTCCAGTGTTGGGGGCCAAGGCACAGGAGATGGAGTGGGCAAATGTGCTGACATGTGTGTGAAGGGGTATGTGGAACCGTGTGTGTGTGTGTGTGTGTGTGTGTGTGTGTGTGTGCAGGGGGGGTGGGGGTAGCCAAGGGACCTAGGCTTGCGGGGCTGGAAGTGGGAAGCCTGCCTCGGAGACAGGAACAACACAAGGTGGGGCTCCAGGCTGGAGGTCAATGGTTCCCAGGAATGCAGGCAGATCCCTTGGAATCACCTGCTGCAGAGACCCGCCACCCCACAGGCTCCATGAGGTCCACCAGGGCCCATGCTGACAGCCCAAGATCCACAGCAGGAGAAAGCCAGACATCCTAGAGGCACAGTGAGTCTCCCATGCCACACACAGCAGCCCCTCTGCTCTGGGGACTGCTCCCCAGCCTGCTGCCCTCAGGCCTCCTCACTGCCCTCCCTGCCTGTCCATCACAGCACCCTGGCACGTCTCCAGACCTTGGCTTGCCTTTCTTCTTGGCCACTGAAGGCCATGAGCAGGGCCTGGACAGACAGAGACAGGCACCCTCATCACAGAGGAGCGGGCAGCTGGGGATGGAGGGGGTAGGTCCCAAGCCATGGCATTCAGTGTTGAAACCCAAGGGGGACGTGGTGTGATGCTATGCACCCCAGGCATGGGGCGAGGGTGCAGGGAGAAAATTCCCTACCAGAGCCTGCATAGAGAGGCCTAGAATGGTGCTGCCCAATACAGTTGCCACTAGCCACAGGTGGCAATACAAACTCAAATCAATGAAATTTACATGTAATTTAAATGAAAAGTTCAGCTGCCCAGTCACACTGGCCAGTTTCAAGTGCTCAATAGCTCCATGGGACAACTGGCTCCTGTGCTGGGCACTGCAGGTCTAGAAGCATCCAATGGGAACCAGTGACCGAGTCACCTGGGGACAAACAATGGAACAGCGTAGGCGATGTCACTGACCCCATCTTCCCTTTTGGAATTTGTGTTTTATGGGAATGTATCCTCCTTAAAAAATATGTCAGTATATACACATAGTATGCACATAGAATTGAAAAACAAAAATCCCCCACCTTGCTGCAGTGTCTCCTCCCTGGCCCTCCCCAGGCCTCCTTCCCAGCCATGTTCTCCACTGGTAAGTGCACTGGTGGCCTGGGCCCCTCCCAGGGCTGGACAAGTGAGGGGAGCCCAGAGGAACGTGCTAAATCCAGCCAGCTGCTCAGAGGCCTGGCACCACCTCTGCCTTCCCACCCGACATGCACACGACAGCCCTGCCGGACAGCATGGCACAGGGAGCCAGGTTACGGGTTAGTGGCGCCTGGGAGCCAGTGCAAGGCGCATGCACAGGGCCGGCCAGGCCATGGGCGCTGGCGCCCCTCCGCAGCACTCACTGCCGGTACCTGTTCTTCTTTCTGCACAGCCGTGAAAACAGTTTACTTTTCTTTCTGTGGGGACGGACCGGACATGGAGGCCTTCATTCTGGGGAAAGGCCAGGTGCAGAACTGGCCTGTCCCCTTCCCTCTTTGTCAACCTCTCTGCTCAGAGGACTAAGGGGCAAAAGCCTCTCCTAAGTACCAGAGGCCTTGCAGAGGGCCTGGACCTACTATCCCCCATGCCCTGGCTGGTCTCCACTGTGGCCAGGTGCCCGGGGTGAAGCTAACAGGGCCTGGTGAGGGGCAGGAGGTTCGGGGCAGGGGAGATTCACCTTGCCTGTGGTCCCAGTCCCCAGGGGCTCCAGGTGCACCCAGAATGCCAAGAAAGTCCCCCAGCCTAACACAAGGGGCCACCCTGCGGGAAGGGATGCTGCTGGGCCTCCACTGCCCTCTCTCTTCCCTCCACCCGCTTCCCAAAGGAAGCCAAGGTTCTGGCCAGGATGGCCACCCATACCCCTTGTTTACCCATCCTAGTGTTCCCACCTGTGCCTACATCTGTCCCCCTGCTTACCCATCCTGGTGTTCCCAGCTGTCCCTCCCTGCCTGACCTTGGATTCACCTTTTGGCCTTTATTCCACAACACTCCCCCTCCCCGCCCTCCACCACGTCGCCCTTCTAACCTCCCCACTCCCCTACTGAGGCACCATGCCCCCTCTGTCAGCCACACCTATTTTATGTTCAGGGAAGGAGGGGTTAATCACCACCACCCGATACCCTCATCATCCCAGGCAATACTCCTGGTAGCCCAGGAAGCAGACAGTAGCCCGGTTTTACAGGGTTCGTCGGTGCTCTCCACCCTCTGCTGAGACATTCATGTGTGTATGCACTCACACCTGTCACACACAGCCCCCATCACACGCACACATGCACACATGGCCAGAAAGGAGGCCTCCCAGGCTTGCTGCGTCTTCTAATCCACAGCCAGGGAGTGAGGCGTTTCCCTCCTCCCTCAAGCTGTCCCCTCAGGAAGCAGAGACCCCCTCGAAGCCAGGCTTCCCAGAGGGACTGGGGCTGAGCACAGGAAGAGGACCCCGTCTGGGTGAGCATAATGATACCATCCAGGGACATGAGCTCTTCCAGGAGTGGGAGACGGAAGGGGACGCTACCTCCCTGCTCTGAGAGGATTGCACACCCCGGAGTCAGTCCTGTTCATACTCCCAGCCCCCAAAGCTGAGCAGGCTGCCCACCCCAACCCTGGCTGCTCCTGCTCCACAGTGATGGGGTCAGCCGGCTCCAGGACCCGTGGGCTCTGCAGAGTGCTCCTTCCTTGATGAACAGAGCCAGAGCGGCAGGGACATTCGAGACAGAGACCTGCCCTGACCTGCTTCTGGTAGCACAGAGAGGCCAAGACATGGACGTCCCTAGACTCCCAAGGCCAAACCCACAGGAGACCAGGGAGGGCACCAACAGGGTCACAGGAAGGAGCCATGCCCTTGCCGTGCTTAGAGTCAGGGGGGGCCAGGGCCCTCCCTGCATGCACCTGGGCTGGGCCTTGACCATGAAGGTATTGCTCCCGCGCTGTTTCTCCAGGCTGACCAGCACGTCGTTGAGGTTCTGGTTGAGCTGAGGGAGAGACAGTGAGGAGGTGGGGGGCCTCCGGGGCCACCAAACAGCCCACCTTCCCCAAACACCTCTGCTTCTCCCCACTGCCCCCACCCCCTGCCAGGAACAAGCTCCTCTTTCCCCATCTGTGAGAGCAAAGAACCAGCACACCAAACCCAGAAAAACCACGGGGGCAACAAAATGCGGGGAGTGGGCGATATCACTAATGCCTGCTGCTCCTGGAAGCCATCTTTTCCCCTCCTTCTATTTAGAGGAATATCCCAAAATGCCACATACGGCTTACACTCCTTTAACATTTTTCTCTTAAAAATTGTTCTGGCAGACTGTTGATCTTAATTGTTAAGGTCATTTTGCCAAGATGCTTTCAGACCACACGACATCTGCCAGATATTTCACTGAGAGCACAGGTGTGAGAAGAGGTTCATTCCTGGCACATGTGCTCATTACTGAGAATATTCCTCTCTTTGATTTGGCCACTAGGTAGCTCAGAGCTGAATTTTCATCCTAATTTATAAACAACTATGCCCTGTGGCATATATTTTTGCAGACTAATTTTATATAAATGTTCCTTCTCTAAAATACCTCTCTCTCTATTTTTTAAACTTTTCATTAAGTTGTCTCAAATCTTCGAAGGGAAAGGGGAAAAGGTAAGAAGAGAAAGAGAAAGCCTAAAAGGCAAGAAACCACACTCGGGGGTGAGTCAGGAGAGGCCCTGAACTGCTTTTCCTCCTCCGACCCTGGGCCTGGAAACCACCATCACCGTGAGACCCACCACTGGGGGGCGGGGGGTGGGGGGCGGGGGGTGGGGGGCGGTGCCAGCCCTGGGTCTCTCAAACTTCAAAGTTCAACAGCTTTGCTTTTTAGCTGCCAGATAGGTTAAAATGAAAATAACGTAACAGAGGTCCGCAATCAGACCAGACCCGGTCGCACAGCAGATTCAGGCAGATGAAACAGGCCTATTTAAATGTGTCAGAAACATGGGCAAAAAATTAGAACTGAGCAAATGATAGTAACTTATTTGTTCCTACAAGCTGGGAAACCGTCGCCATTGCTTAACACGGCACTCCTCAGGCCAAGGTTGCTAGAGAACACCTTCACGGTTTGAAAGGGCCTGGTCTACATCCTCAGGCGGTCCTGCCCAGGCAGGGACCCAGACCCACTCACAGCCTCCCCTGCACACCCTCCTGCCCTCCTGCCCTCCTGCCCTCCTGGGCCTGGCACTCCTGAAAGGTGTATTCCACAGGGCCTGGAGGAAGCACTGTGGCCTTGGGTGTGTGCTGAAGCTGGTGGGGAAGGGGGAGCTCAGGCCGCCCCTCCCACGCCGCTGACTCAACCCTTGGCCAGGGTGGAGTGCGGCACCTCAGAGGGGTCCTGAGGGCCTACCTTGCTCATCTCCTTATGGAAGTTCTCCTCCAGGCCTGCAATGCTCTGGAATGTGTTGACATAGAAACCTACGAGGCTACAGGAGGGCGGAAGGATGGGGGCTGGGTGAACAGGCAGGTGAGGGCAGCAACTCAGAAACACGCCCACCCATGAGTGAGTACACATGCTCATCAGAGACACAAACCTGAGAGGGCATGGGCACCGCAGCACGTGGGCACCGCAGTATGTGGAGTGGACACCGCACCGGGCCTCACCTGTTCCACAGGGACGGCAGCTCCTCCTGCAGATCCACATTCATCTCCTCAAACACATTCTGGGCTTTGATGAGCTCCTCCTCGGCCTGGGGGTCAGCACGTGTCATTCCCCTCTGCTGGGCATCCATTCCAGCCAGCCCAGCCCCATGGCCAGTCCACCCACCTCCTGCCCACCCCTCCTGGCCAACCAGGACCCTCAGGACAATCAAGGAAAGGGAGGACCGAGCAGCCTTTGCCAAAGAAAGGCCCAGGCGGCCCGGAGGGCAGTGAGTGGTGAGTAGGGCTCAACAAAACGGACAAGATGGGGGCTTGGCAAGCTGGACACAGGGCATGCGCAGAGGGAGACCCCAGACCCAGCCAAGTGGGGACCCCGCCACTTCCACATGAACCCCTCAGGCTGGGTGCCAGCCCTGCTGCTGACTTCTGGTTCTCAGGGCAGCATCTGTCGCCGCCTTCCCTCCGCCCCACTTCACCCCTGACCCTGAGGACTTTCCCCCTGTTTCTGAGGGCCAGCTCCTGGCAGCCTCAGCCACCAGCCTTCACTTCACCTCACAGGGACGGCCCTTCCACAAAGCCCTCTCTCTCCTGTGACCTGTCCCCACCAGAGGGAGACCAGAGGCAGCTCCTCTGGCACCTCTAGGAATGGCAGGAGGACCCTAGAGGAGGGTGCAGGTCAGCGAGGAGGAGGAGGCCGGCGGGGGGGGGGGGGGACGGTCTGGATGGTGCCTGGTCTCACTCCTGGCCCACACAGTCCCTAGGGCAGGCCCTGTGCCCTCCAGGCTGCTCATATCCACCAGGCGGTGGCGCTCAGACCCCATCGCAGGGCCACGGAGTGCTGGGGAAGGGACTGCAGGTGGCCGGTGAGTCACAGACCCCGCCTGGTGGAAGGGGCTCTGCTGGCTCACTCTGGGAGGGCGCTGCCGGATTCAGGGTCTGAGTCACAGCCTAGGAACGTGTTGGGCCCCACCTAGGGAAACTTCCCATGGCAGCCTCACGTTCTCCGGCCGGGGCTGGGGCTCAGGATGAGACGCCTTCTGGCAAAGGCGGCCAGATGGCTGGAGGGCCACTTATCCACAAAGCACACAACTTCCCCAAGCCCAGCCAGCTGTCCCATCCAGCCTCAGGCACCAGGACTAGCCCAGGTCAGCCCCTGTCCCCAGTGACTTGGGGTGGGACTGGAGGAGGGGCCACGACGGCTTCTGTCAACAGCTACGTCCAGCTACTCGCTAGAGTGGGCGTGGGCTCCTTGCCTGACTTTTTAGAGTCTAATAAAAATTTAAAAGCAGAATAAAGGGGCACGCCTCTCTTAGAATGGATCAGATCTGGGGCCCTGGGCACCCCACACCAGGGCCGGTGGAGAATACTGCCTCTCTTCCCTCTCCAGGCTGTGGTTGGGCCATCCCTGCCCTACTCCTCTGGGCATCCCAGTACCTGGCAGGGGGGCTGCCAACCATGGTTGTATAGAGCCCGTAAAATGAGTGACTCCTAGGGGTTCTGTTATGAGATGAGCACCATCACTCATGCCCCTGCCCCCGCCACCAGGAGTGGGCCTAAAGTCCCATATTCCACAAGAACCTGCCTGGATACCCCCCCACCGTACCCACTAGGACCTGCTCTCCATGAAGACACAGCCACCACCCCAACCCCCCAGATGGCAATGGTGGGGACAGCAGTGAAGACAGCACCACAGCTTGTCTAGGGGACACCTCTGCACCCAGCCGTGCTCATGCAGCCTGACACTGCAGAGAACAAGAGTGGGGACAGTTCCATGTGAGAGCTCCTGAAGTCAGGACCCGTGTCTTGTATTCCCTTTGGGTGACATTCCTCATGTTCTGGCTCCTTCGGAAGCATGTGGAAGGGGCAGGGAGTGAGGTGAGGGCTGTCTGCCGTGAGGAGGATGTGCCACCCCCACAGCTCCACTGAAGCTAACAGTGGGGGAGGGCAGAGTCACATGAGCCCGGGCTCTCGAGGACAGCGTTCAGGAGGCCAGGGCAGGTGTGGAGAGCAGGTGAGAAATAGCCCAGGGGCCGCATGGAGCTGGCCAGCCCCCCAGGCGCAGCCTGGAGAGGATGCACTGTCTCCTCAAAGTCAAGTCCCCAAGCAGGGCACCCCCACTGCCAGCCAGCTGCAGACAGTTCTCTCCAAAGGCTCTCCAGCCTCCAGCCAGGTATGGTGGGGTGGGGACAAGGAGGATGTGCTTAAATAAAGGTGGCACCCAAATGGGACAGCCAGTTTGGCCAAAATGGGAAACATCTACAGCCCAGCACCCAAAGATGTGATCACATGCCTTACCCAGGGTGGGGGTGGGGCAGGGAATCCCAGCCACACCCATCCCAGGAGTCCAAAAGCAGAGGGCAGGCCCCATAGCCTCCTAAGGGATTCTCCCAACCAAAGAAAATATTTCACCTGCTTCAGGGAAAATGATTCAGAAACCCCGGTCCTCGGTCAATAGTCATTTTCCTCCTCCAGCCCAAGTGCTGAACTGACTGGCGGGGCACGCCAAGTCCAGCCCTGGGTTCCTCCTCCACCTCCAGAGTCAGATGAAGTCTCGGGCCTATCAGAGGCCCCTAGGCATCACCCCCAGCCCCTGGCTCTCCAAGGGCACCCTGACCTCAGGATGAGGCTGTCAACACTCAGTGCCTCCAAAGTCAGCTTTGGCCTAAAAGAAATCAGGCAGCACATCAGGTGAGAAATTGGACAGGCAGGCCAGGAGCAGTGGCTCACGCTTGTAATCCCAGCATTTTGAGAGGCAGAGGCAGGTGGATCACTTGGGCCCAGGAGTTCAAGACCAGCCTGGGCAACATAATGAGACACAACCTCTACAAAATATTAAAGATTAACCAGGCATGGTGATGCATGCTTGTGGTCCCGCTATTTGGGAGGCTGAGGCAGGAGGATCGCTTGAGTTGGGGAGGTCGAGACTGCAGTGAGTCATGATTGCTCCACTGTACTCCAGCCTGGGGAACAGAGCAAGACTCCAAAAAAATAAAATTGAAAACGAAATTGGACAGCAAGCAATGCCAAACCCACCCAGAGCTCTCCACATCGCAGGCACTCAATGAAAATGATGAAATCAAGAGGCAGCTCGGAAAAAATAAGGCAGCTGCCCAGAGAGAAACCCAACCTTCTGGGCCAGGCCCCCTATCACCGGCCCCTTGGGAATATGAAGAAGTGTGAGGGCCTCATCCAGGCTATGACTACGCTGACCCAAAATGTGCCTCAGTTTCACTGGAAAGAAAACCACGTGACCCTCCTCTCACAGGACACTGCATCCAGTGGTCCCTGGCCACACCATGACCCATTTGGGGGGGGGCTGATAAGACCATAGCATTTATGGCCAAGATGGTGAGACGGCCCAGGAGTTTTGTACAAACAGCCTCCTCCAGGAAACCCCCCAGGAACACTGTGGTGTTGGTCACTTGCCCTCCATGAATCCCCAAAGGCCGACCCTCCAGTGCCCATGCTTCCCCTCCAGGTCTTAGCATCCCAGCCAGACTGGAGGGTCCTCCCAGTAACTCCTCCAGAGTCACCATGGGGGCCACACGTCCCAGGGAAATGATGCAGAGGCTTGAGTCAGTAGAGCCCCAACTTTCCCCTAACTGGCTCAGGCCCCAGGCTGTGATGTGCCTCTCTGGGAAGCTTTGTCTGCTCCCTAAATTCAAGATGATCTCAGAGTTGTCATGAGGCTTGAAGGAGACAGGCATGGCAGCACAGGGGCCTGATGACGTCGCCTCCCTCCCCAAAGGAGCCCTCACAGAGGGCAGATGGTTCAAAGGCATTCCTGGAGCACCTAGGATTTCAGAGGAGTCTCCAGGAATGACCAAAGATGCAGCTGCAGAGCGGGCACACCTATGCCCCCACCCAGGTCACACGGAGCCCCTCAGCTGGTTCTCTGACCCCTCCATTTGACTTCAGTTCTCCTCTGAAGCAGGAGCTCTCCCAGCGGAGGCCTTTGAAAACACCCTGCCCGGCCTGCCAGGCTCAGACACCAGCCCTGCATCCCGGTGGCGCAGGGCGAGAGGACAGGACCAGAGACCGGAAGGCACCGGCAAGTGCAAGGTTAGAAGCCAGAGTCACCTGATTTCGGAGCAGGTTAGTTTGAGCTTCGAGATGAGCCTGCAGTTTGCCTTGGCACCACTAGGGGTCGGCTTTCTCAAGCAGCGAAACAGGCTGGGTGGGGAGGTCAAGGCAAAGGAGGGTGGAGAGACCAGGGAGGTGGGGAGAGAGAAACAGAGACACAGATTAAACGCACGTCCACACGCCCCACACGCAGGGGCCGCCCCAAGCAGATATGGGCCTTTGAGGCCCAGAGAATCAGGGGGAGCCCGAGGAGGCCAAGAGAGGGGGTGAACTCCAACTGCGGAGGCAAAAGGTGGGCGTGGTTAGCAGCACAGGGGACCTGGCAAGCAGGGCCCTGCCTGGAGGAGCGGCTGCGCCAGCCCCACGCCACAGGATAAGTGGGGCCAGCCCTGCATGCCCCAGCTCCCTCCAGCCAGGGACGAGTCACCTGAGATCTTGTGATGGAATTCCACCCAGCTCACCAGGCAGGGCGGCACCGTTCCAGGGAGACCCGAGGCCCACTCTCAGGCTGGCGGGTGGCCTGGATCGGAGCTGGGAAGCCAGGAATGGGCCTACAGTGAGCCCCACCCAGGTACCCACAGAAGCCTCTCACTCACCGGCCTGGGCCCAGCACTGTCCCCAACCCCCAGCTCAGCCACCTGGGCCCAGGCAGGAGGAAGGCTCCACCCCTGGGTCTTGGACACCTGCCTTTCTCAGCCCCCTGCAGATGCCACCCCAAACCGCCTCCAGCCCCTACCTTGGCGATTTTGGCTTCCTCCTTCTTTTTGGCAGTTTGCAGAGACTCGTAGTGGTGCCGGGCACTGTAGTAGTCCACCAGCTTGCGCCCCCGCTTGGCGATGCATGACTGGGGCAGATGGAGGAGGGTGCTGAGTGGGGTCTGGCATCCCTCTTGAGACTCCAGAGACCCTGGATGGACCCTCAGGGCGAGCAGGAGACCCCGGCTACACAGAAGCCCTTGAGCCCTGGTTGCTGGAACCCTTCTGGTGGCAGAGAGCCCACCCCTCCCAGCAGTCCAGCCCCACTGTGTGAAACATTTTCTTGCACATGAGCCCATGTGTCCACGTCCACCAGCTGGTGACGTGTCAGCTAAGTCTCTTCCTCAGCCTGACCCCTGGCTTCTCATCTCCAGAGCTACCAACATCAGACTCGAGGAGCTTGAGGCAACTGCACTGGGGGCCCTGAGGCCAGCCTGAGCATGACACCCCATCCCACCCACCAAGGAGATCTCATCAACCCACTGATCAGCCTCGGCTCCAAGTGCACGTCACCGGGAGATCACTCACCTTGGTGGAGACCAGAGACACTGCCGGCTCCTAGCACCCACCCAGGCCCGGCAGAGACAGCAGGCTGTGAATGCACACAACCACACAAAGACACCTACACATGCAGACCCAGACAACGGGTTACATGCACACATACCCTTCCAAGTACACGGGGTGTAAACACAGGAGACCTGCAGGCACACACATCCCTCAGCCCTGCTCTGCTTTCTACACCTTCCACAATCACACAGCCAGCCACTACGCAACACACACACACACACACAGAGACACACACACACACGCGCGCGTGCACGTGCGCACCATGGGACCTCCTCCCACAGCCCTGAGACCCAAAGGGACAGGAAGACCCAGGTCTGGGGAATGGGGGCGGCAGACTGGCAATAGAGGAAGCAACTCTGGAGGATAAAATACTAGGTCAGGGGCCTCCTGCCTCCAGGGCGGCCTCCTCCTGGCCTGAGCCGCACGCCCTGGGCCCTGTCCTCTCTCCAAGTCCCTCCGGGAAGCGAGGGACCTGCAAGTGGGCAGATCTGCAAGGGGGCCTTTCACCTTGATGTCAAGGAACTGGCCCAGGTACGTGTCCATGGTGAGCAGCGCCTGGTCCACCAGCTTCTGGTGGTAATCCATCCACAGCACCTCATTGTTCTGAGACGGGCAAGAACACGACAGTGCCATCAGGGTGCTGGGCCACCCTCGCCCCAGCGCTCACCTCCCAAGGACCAGTCCCAGCTCCATCTCTTCACAGCTCAGTGGCTTCTCAGAGCCTCAGTTTCCCCATCTGTAAGATGGGGGCAACATTTCCTGCCCTAGTGGTGACTGTGAGGATCAGATACGCTGAGGACTGGGGTCAGCCAGGGAGGCTTTGAGTCCTGAGCCATAACACACAAATAAAAACGACCTCCACCCACCATCTGACCCACCTTGGTGTGAGGGCGTGTCAGGAGAAGAGCCCTCAGAGAGGGAGAGCACCTTGCCCCAGGGCACACAGCACATGAACTCCCAAGAACCATAGCGGCTTGTCCCAGAGAGCCTGGCCCAGTGGGACAGGAGCTGAGGCCAGAGCTCCCTCCGGGAAGGGCCAGGGCCGCCGGTCCCACGCTCACCTCTGCGATCTTGTTGGCCTCATCCCTGCCAGGCCAGTCGGTCTCATACACCTCCTGCAGACACTCGTTCAGCTTCTTGGAGGCCTCATGCATGGCTGTGGGGCAGGAAGGAAAGGTGCAGACCTCCCACTGACAGCCCTCGCCCACAGTCCCAGCTCAGCACCCACCAGCTCCCCATGGGTGCGCCCTGCCTGCCTCCTACCTTTGACGGAAGCCAGGTAGGTCCGGAGATCCTTCTGCAGCTGGGTGCGTTCAGTCTGCAAAGAGAAGACTGGTGGCCCACCCAGTCCCTGACCCCTCCTTCCTGCCACCCTCACATGAATGAACCAACCAGGCTGCTCTCCTGACAGCAGCCACTGATCAGCTGACTTCCCAACAGGACAGCAGCTGTAGTTGTCACCCCTGCCTCAGGAGCCCTGAGTCCACAGGGACATTTGCTGTGTTTGCTGGCACCTGCCCTCTTCCAGATGCCACTCAGCCTGGGAAGGAAGGCAGGAAGACAAGGACCACCTCCAGGATGACAGGTTGTGGGTACGGCTGAATGACATACAGCACCTGTGAGCAGCAGGACCATCACTCACAGAACTGCACTCAGACACCTGCAGACAAGTGACTGAGCACAGGAGTATGGCCAAGGCAAGTGTGGTGACTGCCAGGCCCCCTGCGCCACAAGCTCAGGAGGTGCCCAAGGACAGAGAGCTCCCACTGCCTCGTACTAGGGAAAGGGGGCCCAGTCTGAGCCTTTACAGGGACAGAAGACCTGCAGAAGAGGTGGCATGAGAGCAGAGGTGCAGAATGCGGGGGTCATGGCCAGGACTCTAAGGACACTGGCCCAGCTGACACTAGGGACACGGGTTGTAGAGGGAAAAGGCTGAGAGGGCAGCAGGCTGGGTGGTGAAGCTCCCTGAGCTGGGAGAGTGGTCTCCAGGGGCCTCCTGGGACAGCAGGACCAGCAGAGAAGCTAGAAGCATGGGACAGGCCTCAGGTCCCTCTTGGCCATCAAAACCAGAGCCAGGAAAGCTGAGTGAAGAACTCCAGGTTCCAGGAGGGGTGAACAATAAGCAAGGCCAGCACTGAAGTCTGAGACCATGCTCAGTGAAATGCGGAAGTTTCCAAAAGCATGTGCAAAGAGTGGACCACACATAGGCTTTGAGGCCACGCAGACCCAGCTGTCCCCTAGTAGCCACTCAGCCCTAAACAAGCTAGTGAGCCTCTCTGAACCTCAGTCTCCTCATCTTGCAGTGGAAGGTAAATGATCCCTGCCTGGCACTTCGCAGACCCAGTAAGCAGGGCCAGGCCCCGGAGCCTTGAAGGCAGGCTCAGGAGATGTGCCTCATGCTAAGGACAGGAATGCAAAGCAGAGAGGGGACTTGGGAGAGCGGCGGTGGCTGAGGCTGACTTTCAAAGGGAAGGGCACCCTCCTGGCCTCTCCTGCCTGCCACCAGCTCAAGCCTCAGAGACATCCATGTTCTGGATGCCTCCTGCCCCGGAGGAGGGACAGTTGGCCCGGTCCTAGGAGACCCAGCACGCCTACAGAGCTCCAGCCTGGCCAGCTTCATGCCTGCACAAGAGCTGGAAGGTGGCCCCATCCATTCAGGTCAATCTCCAGGCAAAGGCCAGCAGGGACCCGGCCACCTCCACAGGCTCACCCCCATCACGACACCCTCAAACCCACTTCTGTCTCCCCACTCCAGGCCTCTCCCTGTCCGCAGCCAGGGCCGCTCTTCCTGCCCTGGTGCCCTGGCAGTCAGCACCTTCCATGCAGTCATCTTGACACCCCTGCCCCACCCAACAGCACAGAAGCGGACAGAGGGTCAGCAACTGGCCCAGGCACACAGAGGCTGGGGGGAGCCCATGAGCTCCCTCAGCCCCTAAAAAGGGATCTGAGAAACAATTCTCTGGAGGTCCCAGAGTTCACAGAGTCCAGCTGGGGGAAGGTAAGATTCAGGAGCCATTGCCCACCTCAGACCATGTCCCAGATACAGGACCTGGGGAAGTCAGGAAGGGACAGGGGCAGCTCCAGTGCGGCTGGGCTCAGCCAGCATCCCCACCACCCTGCTGCATCTCCTGGATATCAGTCCCCACAGGTGGCCTGAGCACCCAAGTCCCCATGTTCCCAGTGGGTGTAGGGGGCAGGGACACACCTCCCACAGGGAACCCTTTTAGCTCCAGCTCTGACTCTCGCCCCCTGCCCATCAATGCCGTAAGTGACTCAATAGCCAGGGACACCCACTTTGAGCAAAACCTTGGGTGGGCCCTGAGGACAATAAGGCATCAGACCTGTCCCAACTCAGTGACAGACACATAGCAATGACAGCCCTGGGGCCTGGAGGGCTACAGGCGGCCCCTAGGAAGAAAAGCCAGGCTTCCCTGAGAAACCAAGATGGCTTCCAGAAGGGCCTGTGCTGGGTGTGCAGTATTCTGGGGAAGGGCAAGGGGCCCTCATGGGCTCGTAGAGCAAGGGCAGAAGGCAGGGCCACCACTGTGACCAGCAGCAGGTGGGCCCAGGAGGGGCTGTGCACCTGGGTCCTTGTGAGAGCAGGTGACAGCAAGGTGACCTACACCCTCTCCTAGGGACCCCCACACACATAAAAAGGAGTGAGAGGTTCGCGTCTTCAAAGACTAAATCACCTGCCATCCTTGTCCCTCCTAGCGCTAAGCCCACTAGGTGTGGGGCTCACAGATAAAGAGGCAGGAAAAAGCTCAGCCTCCAGGCTTCCCACATCCCATTCTCTCTCACCTTCTCCAGGGCCCCCAAGCCCACTGCAGCCTCCTAAATCCACTCCCTTGATATAAGTGACCCTCACCCCATTCCCTCCCAGACCCACATCCAGCCCCACATCCTGCCACTCCCACACACCAATCAAATCCAGAACTGGCTGCCTTGGCCCCAGCCTTGAACAAGACTTTAAAACTGACACCCCAACTACCATCCATGGCCCCTAAAAAGCCAGCCACCCCACCAAACCCGAGCCTGAGAGCAGACAGAGGCCCAGCTCGGGACCACTCCACAGCAACAGCCTGGCAGCCACCTGGCAGCACTCAGGACTGGCTATCTTTAGCCCTGGCCTCTCTGCCCAGCCCCTCTGTCCAAGGAGCAGTGAGTGACTGCTTGCCCAGAGTAGGGACCAAGAGGGTGACTCTGAGGGACAGTGGGCACAGCAACACTGCGGTTTCAGCCCTGGGGCCAGGCCACAAGGAACCTCAGCTCCCAGACCTGTGCTTCCCTCACCGTCTGCCAAAGCTCAGTCTGTTCTAAGGAACCCCCACTACCTCCACCCCTAACCTGTCCCCCAGCCTAGCCAGCTGCCCTCAGGACAAGGGATCAGCTCCAGAGAGGCAACTCGAGAGTGAGCCAAAGGCCACAGAGCCTGCATTTCAATCCCCAACACCCACACCAGCTGTGTAGCCCTGGAAGATGTGCTTAACCTCTCTGAACCTCAAGTGCCTCATCTGCAAAGTGAAGAGAATATCAGCATCCATTTCAAGGACTGCAAAGATGTCTGTCAAACACACAGCAGTTCCTGGCCCATGGCCACAGCGACTCCTTAAAGAGCCTTCGGAGCAACCGATAACCCGATGAAGCCAGCTGAGTAGGGACACGCCCCGGGGTTTCCCAGAGACAGAATCGGAACCTAAGACCAGGTTTCTTGTTTAAGCCTATATTTTGCAGATGAGGAAACTGAGGCCCAAGGGGCCCTGGGAAGTTCCTATATACAGAGGCAGTAGATCTTCCCTGTCATCGCACCTACCTGGGCCTTGAAACTCCTCCCATAACTGGCCTAGAGGACAAGCAGCCAAAGTGGCTCCCCAATCCCTGTCCGGTGAAGCCCATCAGGGTGCACCCCTCTGGCAAGCCAAGGCTGGTTTGACCCTGGGGCCTCTTCCTCATGCTCCTGGTCCTCTCCCAGAATGCTCCTGGCCCTCCCAGCTGTTCTAGGTCTCTTACCGGAATGCTCCCAGCTCTCCCAGCTGCATCCTATCCCTCCCAGAATGCTCCCAGCCATCTCCCAGAATGCTCCCAGCCCTCCCAGCTGCTCCCTGGCCCTCACCAGCTGCTCTCAGAACCTGACCAGTGAGCAGTCAGGGTTCTCCAAAGGAGGCCCCTTCCCCAGGTTCCATGCCAGCTACAGAGGCTTTGGTGGGCGCCTTCAGTGCTTTCCAAGGCCTCAGACATGGACAAAGAGTATAGAAAGGCCTGGTCCCCTAGAGCCAAGGGGCTCACCCCACCCTCTCACTATCTGAGCTTAGACCCTGACCTCACACCCCATGCCCGGTCCCATTCCTCTTGGCCTCCTTCTCTGGCCTCCCTCCCCACCTGTCACTCCCCGGGGCTGGCCTGCAAAATCCAGAGAGCCGTGGTGCAGCTCCCCCTCCTAGATACTTCAGCCCTCCCCAAGGAGGGGGAATTGCCAGAGTCATCTGTCCTCACACAGCTGCAGCAGTGGCTACGGACTTAGCAGATTTCCAGGGGAAGCTTCAGGGGCGGCCCAGGGCAGGTATTCTGAGCCCTTCAGCAGGAAAGCCCTCTCTATATCTAACCACTTCCCCAGAGTGCCAGTGTGACCACCCCCTTCTGTCACTGGCCCCCGGCCTATAATGGCCCTTGGTAAGGATGTCCTGGAAGTCCCTTCCAGGCTTTGGAGCTAGGCAAGTATGGATCTGAATCCACTTCCAGAGCTAGATGGCCTTGGGCAAATTATCCAACTTCTCCACCTCAGCTGCTTCATCTACAAAAGGGGAACTGTGAGTAGATGGCCTTACACAGCTGTTGAGAGGTGTCCACAGCCGTCTCCGATTGGCCCAGCCTTGAGTCTGCCACAGAGCCAGGCACTCACCATGCTCAGCAGATGCCTAAATCAAATCCAGCCTGCTCCGCCCCCACGCTAACAGCTGCAGTTGCCACTCTCCTGGCAAGAAGCTTCTATAGCTACAACTTGCCCCTGACACAAAAAGTTTCCCCGAGTCTGACCACAGTCTATTGCCTGCTCCTATCCCACCCTCCCTCTCCCCCAGCTACCCTTTCTATGTCTCTTACCAAGGACCTAAAGAATACATACCCCACCCTCCTCTTTCCCAACATGCATAGCCTGTGCGGCCTTCTCCAGGAAGTCTTCCATGATCTTATCAGCCCAGACTGATTTCTATCCTCCAAGCTCTCGTATTCCACAAATTCAGTTCATGCCATTTTCCAGCTGGCAGCTGAATTTTCACAAACTCCCTAAGGCCAGGGGCCACCCACACTCACCAGCTGCTTGTTGAAGTTCTGGACGCACTGCTCAAACTGCTCATCCTTGGTCACATCTGCCTTCCCCAGCTTCTGGAGAACCTGCCGAGGCCAGGAGAGAAGGGGAGAGTGTTACCTGGGAAAGGAGAGTGTTCCGTCACCAACACCAGAGACCAGGCTCCGGGAAGCCTCTAGCCAACATCACCCAGCTCAGGGTGCCCTCACAGGGCTGCAGTGCCCCAGGGCATGGCTGGATCCACCCGGTCTTCAGGCCTCCCCACCCTCTACCCAGGGCTCAACAATCAGCCAAAAGTGGAGCTTAGGCCAGGCTCGCCATAGTGACCACAGCCAGGAGGAGGGAGGCTTCAAAGACAGCAGGAAGGATCAGGCATCCTCCTTGCTGATCTCACACTACACCCCTGGGTGCTCCGCCCCCACCCTGGCAGCTGTAAAGTGAGCCAAGCAGAAGTGGGGCCAAGCAGGGGCAGCCCCCCTTCCCCAAATGACTCCATTCCCTGGGCCCAAGACCCATGAATGCCACATGCATCAGCAGAGCAGGCCCTGAACCAGCAGGAGCCATCTTGGAACAAGGAGGGCAGCAAGGGGTGGCTGGGGGCTTCCAGGGACACTCGGAGTCCGCTTCTGACCTGCTGGGGTTTTTAGATGTGACCTGCCCCAGGCACTCTGCTCTGTCCTGCACACACACGTGCACACACACACACAAGGCACACAAGGGCACACACATGGGCTCACAGCCAGTCTGCTGGCAACCAAGAGTCTCAGAGGCAGCCCCCTGGTGAGTTGCAGCTGTCCTCCTCCTTCAGCTGTGTCGGGAGAGGGAGGGGGAGTGGGGATGGGTGGGCAAGGGCCGAGAAGGGGAGCCACACCAGGATGGAGAAAGCTCTAGGGAAGGAAGGCGCCAGCTCAGGACCCTGAGAGCATATGCTGGCCACCATGCCCTCCCAGACTTCCCTCACTGGGCCTGCTCTCCCAACCCCAGAGCTCCCCATGAGGGACAGAGAGGAGGAGGCAGGGAGGCAAAATACAGAGGGAAGGGGGGATGAGTGGGCAGGGTAAGAAAGAGCAGGAGAAGAAAAAACAAAGAGCCAGGGCACAGAAAAGGGATGAGGAGTGCGGAGAGGGGGCAGGGGTTGCTGGAGAGCGGAGGGGAAGAGCAGTGACACACCCACAGCTCGGGAGGCACCTCCATCAGGGCAGAAAAAGGGCCAACACTGACGGCTTAGCAGAGGCCTCTCCCAGGCACTGACCAAGACCCCACAAGAATGAAAAGGAAATGGAGTAGGGGGTGGGAGTGGAAAGTGAAGGGAGAAAAGGTGGGCCCAGGAGCAGTGCGGAGCCCCGTGAGCAAGGGGGAGGCCAGCAGGCCCACAGACACACCCTCCCTTCCAAGACCCGGAGCCAGGCCACGCTGCAAGAACGTCAGCTTTGCCTGCCCAGGGCCCAGACCAGGGTCCTGGACTGAGGAATGCCTGGTTCCAGGACAGAGCCGGGCCCCTTCCCACCTTGCAGGGCCTGTGCTGCCCTGCCTGCACTTCCCCCACCCGGCCCAGGAGCCTTGGCAAGGCCAGCTGCTCTTGGCCATCTCCCACCAAGCAAGTGCTCTATGCCCAGCCTTGAGCACCTTGGCTGGTGCAGCAGAGAGGAATCACATGTGGGTCTCTATCATGACATGGGGGAACACTTAGGGCTGTGGGACCCTGGGGTGGAGATCCCATCTAAACTGGGCAGTCAGGGAAGACTTCCTGGAGGGGGTGACAGCTCAGACAGAGGGGAGGGGCTACAACAAAGGTAAGGAGACCAGAAAGAGGGAGCATTTGACTGCGGAGTTTTGAATTGCTCAAAGTGACTGGAGGTCACAGAGAATTGTGCAGGAAGGTGAGTGGCAAGCAGGGGGCAGGTGGGCACTGGAAGGCAGCACTGACAATGCTGCGCTACAATGGTCAGGACACAGCCCATCAGGCACGGGCAGCTGGATGCCAAGGGCTGACGCTGGGATGAGAGAAAAAAACAAAACAAAACCCACATGAACAAGAAAGTGGACACTGCAAAACTCACACTCCCCATTGCTGCCCCTGGCAGCCACATCCAGGTGGCTGAAAGGACCCCCAGAAAGTGAGTTGAGTTGGGGAGGTACCTTGCCCAGCTCTACACGGAGCTTGGGTAGGCAACTCAGCCCCTCTGCCGAGGTGCCCACCCATAGCCCCACCACCTCCAAAGAGAGGAACAGACCACCAGATGGAAAAGAAACTCCCAGAAGTATACCAGGGTCACCAGAGAGACCCAGAAGCTCTCAGAAACAGGTCAGGGACTGGCCAACCCCCAAGGCAGGAGCACCGGGGAGGAGGCCACTTCCATGCCCTGCTCTCCTTCTTCCTGGGAAGACAGACACAGTCAGCCAGCAAAAGGTCCCCAGTCTATCCCACCCACACTGGCCATCAGGGCTCTCGAGGTATGCAGAGACAGACGCACACTCGACCCAGTTCATGTGGTGTTCGCGCCAAGGGCTCATGACTTGCCTCAGTTTGGCTGCGGGACCTGTACTGCATTTCCTCACCTCGAGGGCTGTCGAGTGAGACAGGGCCGTAAGCTGACTCACTAAAAGCAACAACAGAATGCAAAGCAAAGGCCTGCAGTTAATGAGGACATTGTGCTGTCTGCTTCCATGTCCCCCTTCAGTCTCTGTGTAAGCAATAAACTTGCTGCAATTGAAATGTCTAAGAGGAGCAGAGACCTCTGCCCATATTTTCCCTGGAGCCAAGCCTTTGTTTTAGCTCCTGATGAAAAACAGGTTTAACCAGCCACCTTAAGGGCGCCATTGTATCTTTGGAATGTAAAATCAATGAAATGTAAACTACTACCACTAGCCCCCTTAAACTGCTTCCTGAGCAGGATATCACAAGCCCCGGATATCTATTTTATGGAGTTTCTGTTTCCTTTCTGTCTTCCCCTTTGTTTCTTTCTGCTGAGATAAGGTAAATGTAAACAAGACAAAAGGTATAAAAGCTGTAACCCACAAAAATAAATTTGCTGCGTTTTGGCCATAATCTTCATGCAGCCCTCCAGACTCTACTTTTCTATATTCTTTCTTTTCCGCGCACTCTCTCTCTCAGGTTGAACGAGACATCTACGTTGGCGGTCTCGGGGACTCCCGCAGGTCGGTAGTCCCCCGGCAGACGTGCCGGACCCCGACAAGTTCACAAACACTGCCGCGTGCTCTGCACAGACAGCTGGAGCCCACAGGGAGATCTTCCAGCCTTGAGGATGAGAGGCCAGCCCAGGTGAGACTCCATCCAGCAGTGAGAAGACCCTTGGGAAAAGGGACACCTACACTCTGAGCCTCAGTCTACAAAATGAAGTGAGCATCAGCACCCTCCTCAAGGATTACCAAGATCACATCTATAAAGTGCATAGCAGAACCTGGACCACGGTATTCAAGAAATGGCCAATCCCTAAAGGCCTTCAGAGGATAATGTGCAGAGGGCGATGTGCAGAAGGTAATGTGCAGAGGGTAATGTATAGAGGGTGATGTACAGAGCAACCTTCACACAGTTGGCGGATGGGCCTGACTGACACCACCAGCCCTCACACCAGGTCCAGGTTGATGGCATCCCAAGATGCTTGATGGAGGTGACAGATGCACACACATTATGTGCACATGGCAAACTCCTATGCATCCTTCAAAACCTCGCTCAGGTGACATCACTGTGAACTGTCCCTGATCTCTCCTTCCCTCAAACACTCTGTACCACTTAGAGCCTGAGACCTTTCCTCACTGCTGTGTGGCATGCCTGCATGCCTCGTATCCTCAGCCTGAATGAAAGCTTGAGGTTGGGGACAGTGTCCCAGTCATCTGTGTCCCACCCACACAGGGCTAAACACAGGACAGACATGCAAGATATTCTTGCTGGCTGCTGCTCATCTGAACTGTGGGCTTTGGCGGCAGAGACGTGACCTTAAACTAAACACCTGCCTCTCAGTCTCAGGCTCCTCCCAGGCAAAATGGAAGGGTAATGTACACAAAGCCCTCGGCCCTGAGGGGTGGAGGGCGTGGCAGCATGGAAGAGTGAGGCTGAGCCAGCCACCCCACTCTGCCGGACCTCAGGCTGCTGAAGCTCTCAGCTCTCCAGTGCCTCCACCCTGGTTATGGGAGGAACGACAAGACCACAGCATGGCGGAGGCCCAGGTTAGACTGATAGGTGAGGCTGGCCTTGGCCACACGCCATCCTCACTGCACCTACCCTCATTTCATCGATGAGGGAACGCAGGCGCGTGGCCTGGGGTCCCCATTCTCAAAAAGCTCCTGGTGTGGCTACCACAGGGAAAAACAAGCTGGGCACCCCCTGCCCCAGAACAGGAGCTGGGACAAGGCCCTGAGCCTTGGGACACAGGTTTCCCACTCCATCCGTTCCACACTTGGTTAGTGGGACCTCCCCTATGCCGAGCTCACAGGCAGACCACGGAGGGACACAGCAGACTCCAGGTGTCCAGGAGGGGATGGCTCAGCAGTGACTCAGGAATGCTGGGCAGGACAATTGTGCTGGGTTTTTACGGATGAGCAGGAGTCGGTGAGGAGGAGGGCCTTGTGGCGCAGACCAGGATTTGCACTCTGTCCAGGGTTATCAGGGGGAGGACGCCTGAGACAATCAGCTCCACTCATACTCATCACACACTTACCATGCATGCTCACTCTGTGATAAACAAAGGGGAGCCTTTGATAACTTGACAGAGGACGAGACACACAGAGGCCCAGGGAGCAGAGGCGGCCACAGAGCCAACAGTCTCGGGAGCCTGATTGGCTCTCACCACGTCCTCAGCCCAAGTCCACATGTGAGTGGAGCTGAAGTGCCTCAGAGGGGACATCCCAGGGCAGGGCAGGGAGGTGGGGGCAGGTGGCAGGAAAGACGAAGGAGTGGCCCTGTGGCCAGCTCCAGAACCTCCTCCTGCAAACATCCATAGGTTCAGCCTCGCTGAGCCCCCGATGTGGAAGGAAACCCGCCCAAAGCTCCTCCCTAGAAAGGCTGGGAGGTTCACTGAGTTGGCACTGTGCCTCCGGCACCAGGGCCCACAGGGGCTCAGTGGGAGCATCCCGTGGTCGAGTGCCCCTTCCCAGCCCTCCACCAAGGCCTCTGTCACGGCCCAGTAATAGGACAGAAGGCCCTGGCATCAGTCTCTCCCTGTGAGTACAGGGAGTCCTGCCACCCTCCAACAGCTGCCACGTGGCAGGCAAGGCCCTGACCCACAGCGTGAGTCATGGGGCACAGTCAGTGCCTGGCCACCAAACCTAGAGAGAGGAAAGGCACCCAGGCCCATCTTGTTTAAGCCAGGAGCAGCTCACCACCTACAGCACCCACCCAGCCACCGTGCATGCACTTCAAGACACCAGGGCCAACTCCTCACAAGGGAAGTGTCCTCACCTCTGAGTGACAGATGGCAGGTGAGCACAAACAAATCAGTTGAAGTGGTCAAGTCAGGAGGGAGTGGGTCTTCAGGCTCAAGGCTGTGCCCCAGCAGCCCTTCCTAGGGTCTCTGATCCCACCCTCAGCCCCAGAGAGCAGCGGATCCCCTATACTTGGGGGACATACACCCACAGTCTAAGTGGCCTGGCCCAGGGCAGGGAGAAGCACTTCCCAGAGCCGTGAGAAGGACCAGCCCAGGGACCCAGGAGGAAAGCTGGAGGCAGGAGGGGTAAGGGCCACATTCCCAGCCACTCGGGTCCCAGCCAGGACCTGGAAGAAAGCTGGGGGCTCCTCCACCAGCTGGTGACACCCCTCATCCCCTTGTCCCTGTTGTGGCTGGAGGCATCTCAGGGTGTTGCAGAGTTCCGAACCCCACCCATCACACATGGAAGGGGGCCCTCATCCTGCAAATCTCCCCACCCAGGCACCCACTACCCAGCTACTGAGACCCAAAAAAATTCATGAGGCCCTCACCTTCCACATCATCTCCTCCACACACCTGGCTGCCTGTGCAGGAAGGGTGGGCTGAGAAGTGAGCCCCGACTTGCCCCTTCCTCTCAGCAGAGGTGCCAGGAACATTGCAGGACAAGTCTGCACTGAAACTAGGGTTGGTATGGGCAGGCCATGGTAGGTGCCCAGGCAGGGAAAGGGTATGGCCCCTCTGCCTCCCCTCACCTGCCTCAAGAGTCTGCCTGCTGCCTGATGCATCAGGCTGGGGTGGCAGTGGTGAAGGGATACAAGCAGAGGGGGCCAGTCTGAGGACAGTGCTGCAGACCCCATAGTCACCTAGACCCCCAGCACACAACCCCTCTCCAAGTCCATCTCTCAAATGCAAGCTGCCCAGACATCCAGACGCAGAGAACCCCCTCTCCTGGCTGCTGCTCACACCTCCCCATCCCCACTCCGAAGGTGGAGTCGCCTAAGCCTGCTCCACACTTCCAGACAGAGGGTCTGGGTGGCCTCCAACCATCCAGGTGCCATGCAGGAGGCCACAGCAGCCCCGACCAGACAGCAGAGGGAGGAAAAGAGGTTCTAAGCCCACCACTCACCGCCACACTTCATGTGCCCCTCCACCCTTCTTATTTTCAAAGCATAAACCTCAAAGAAAGCAGACAAGATACTACAGAGGCTATCATCTACCCTTCACCCAGATTCACCAATCAACTGTTACCACGTGGCCATGTTAATTTGCTTTCTTTGCTTTTCTCCTTTCTTGCTCTGTCACCCAAGCTAGAGTACATGACGCCATCCCGGCTCACAGCAGCCTAGACTTCCTGGGCTTAAATGATCCACCCACCTCAGCATCCCACGTAGCTGGGACTACAGGCCACAGTGCCTAGCTAATATTTTTATTTTTTGTAGAGACAGTGACTCACTATGTTGCTCAGTCTGGTCTCGAACTCCTACCCTCAAGTGATCTTCCCACCTCAGCCTCCCAAAGTGCTGGGATTGCAAGTACGAGCCACCATGCCCAGTCACTTTTCTTTCTATACAAACAGTTCCTGCACTTGAATGTTTGCCCAACCAACTGAAGGGAAGTAGCAGAAGGTCACTGGGATGACCTTCATCCAGAATGCTTCACCCCTAAATACTGCAACACATTCCCTAAGAACAAGAACGTGCTCCGAAATCCCCGTGATACTGTGAGCACCCTGATCCCTTTAATACATATTTTAAATACCATCTGACACATGGTCCACATTCAGATATCCCCGGGTATCCCCCCAGTGCACTTTCCATCCGGGCCATCTGCTTTTCAGTCTAGGATCCAACTGTAGTTCACATATCGCTTCTGATGGTCAGGTCTCTTCTTCCTTTAGTCCAGAACGTTCCCCACCTGCCTACTAATCAGTGTCTTCCTTTTTTTCTTCTTTCTTGATATTGGTATATTTTTAAGAGTGAAAACCAATCACTTGGAAAATCCCCCCACCCCACCCCCTACACCGCATTCATCCGTTTCCTTGTGATGACATTCAGGTGAAACGCTGCTCTGGTGAGAATCCGGCACCTTCTGACCACATTACAGCTGTGGTAAGCTTGACCGCTGGGTCTGAGTCACGTTTGCCAGATCTCTTGGAAAGAAAGGTCACTTTTCTCTTAGTCATCTGCAGGGCAATCACTGTCATTGTGGCAAGGCAAAAAGTTGCTGAACTTTCTGCACAATGCCCTCACCATCCATCATTCTTTGCTGTTCAGCGTGAGGTCTGCAGGCAGCTGCATCCCGGTCTTCTGAGAGAGAACCTGGGGGAGAGAAAACACTGCAGACTGGCTGACCCAGAGTGTTCCCTTTAACAGGTCCCCCTGGTGCACTGTATGTGCAGTGAAGCCTGAGAAGTACTGCAGTCGCATCTTGGCTGGAACCCACTGTCACCCAGTCTCCTCCACGTGACCCGGCATTCCACAAAGATGAGCTTCCCCTAGTCTTCCCTTTGCGAGGAGGGCAGTGGGGATATCATGAGTGCTTCATTCTGCATTCATTATTCTTTTTGATGCTCAAACATCCCAAGTACAACCAGTGGAAGATTTCGAACACGTGCCCACTCATCTGCGAGCGCATCATTACTTTCTGCCACTACCAGATGCTCTGGACTCAGCCTGCACTGTCCCTGCCCCAGCCCTGGAATCTGCCATGTCTCCAAGGAACCCTGATTTCCTTTAGTGAAGAGGCGTGCTCACTGCTCTTAGGTATTTCACCTTTACACCATTCTCAGAGCCGCAGATTATTACCCCTACTTTAGAGATAAGAAAGGGAAGGCTGAGGCACTAAGGGATTTGGCTCTGCAGCTAAGAAGCAGCAGAGCCCAGATTCTGTGGCTTCGTGGTGGCAGCAAACAAACATCATCATGCAGGTCTGTCTGCTTTGAGAAGTAGGAAGGGAGACAGACCCACGGCCAAGCAGCTGCCCTCTGGTCCCTCACAGTTCCTTCAGAGGCCACACTGCCTATGGGCAGTGACTGGTGGCACCAGGCTGGTGACTGCACAAGAGGCAGCTTCCTGGTCTCATCCAGCCCTGGGAAACTCGGTCTCCCTCCTCGGAGCCCAGTGATGTCACATGTACAGAGGTGTCGGCAGCTTCAGAGCAGCAGTGATTAACCCAGAAGCTAACACTCTCCCAGAAGCTAATTCTCTAGTGATGAATTAGGCCTTATTCTCCCCCACAGAGCTGCTGCTGCACTCTCAGGTTGGGAGGGGAGGGCACCCAGACCTGCAGCCAAGGACAGAGGGGCTAGAATGGGGGTCCCAGCCTCCCTGGGAAAGCTATGGGCAGCTGGGCCCCTTACAGCAGCCCCGGGTGTGGCAGCAAAGGAGAGAAGTGGCCCAGGTTCCTGCCAGGGAATGGAGCCCAAGGGCACTGGGGAAGTGAGTCCCAGGAAGCAAGCCCAGAACACACAGCACACTTCTTAGCAGCTAGCCACACCCTTAGCAGTTTTGCCTTCCAACCTGCCAAAGGCACAGTGACTTTAAAGGTAAGTGAACTCCATCCCAGGAGGCAAGAATGCTCCCCAGCCTTCAGGGCTCCACACAGCAGCACCAGCTCAGCCATGCACCTGCAGCAGGCACCCCCAGTATGAGATGACGCCCACACACTCTCACACACACCCTCCCTGGCACAGCCACCTGTCCATGGCCCTCCAGTCGTTCCTGGGTATACTAGGAAGGTGGCAGGAAACACAAAGAAGCCACAGAGACAAGCAAGAGACAGGGGGAGGTCAGGGGAGGCCGTGGAAGAGCCCGGAATGAGGAAGGAGCCTGAGAGAAAACCAGAGACGTGGAAACCAAGAGCTAGCTCAGGGCAGCAAGACGAACCCCCGCCAGGAAGGGCCCAGCACTCTGGGGTAGTGAGGCCCACCCCCTCAGCTCTCACACTCAGGGCTGCCCCAAAAGGGGGACCTGAGCCAGGCCTCAGCCCTCTTCCCTGGCTCCTCTGTGCCTCCATACCTAGGGCCTCCTTGTCCCTCGGGCTGGATATGAAGTGGTGGCAGGAGGGGCTAGCTCTGGGAACAGGCATCTGTCAACCTGCCCTCCCTCAGGGTAGATGCTGCCAGCTCAGCTGTCACTCCAGAGGGGACCCCTCCCCATCAAATTTCTTCCCTATGAGCCCAGCTGAGGGCCCCACACATGCCCCTCAGGCTCAGTTCCACAAAGCTCACAGCACAAGGTATGACCACCAGGGAATCTCTCCTCCAAGGGCTCACCTTGGGCAGCCCACCGCCCTTGAATCCCCTCCCCATTGGCTGATATCCCTAGGCCACCCCAAGGTGGCAACTGTTGTTCCCATTTCATAGATGAAGAAACGGAGGTCAGGGCTGTCACTCAGCTAAGGAGCAGCACAGCCAGGACACCACGTCTGATCAATTCCAAAGCCCAGACTCAACTTTTGACTCCCAAACTGGGGCACACAGACACTGCGGGGAGCGGGCTGTGTGTCTGGAGCTTGCTGAAGAAGATTCACACTCCATCTTGCTTTGATTCAAAGATCGAACCGGTAAAGAAAACACTTTTGGCCAGACCTGCCTCCGCCTCTTGAGCGGACAGGTGGCATCGGGGACTCCCGGCCCCCCTCCTTCCACCCGAATGTGGCCAGCAGCCGTGGCGGGATGGACAATGAGACGGGCACGGAGTCCATGGTCAGCCACCGAGGGGAGCGTGCCCGCCGCCGGAACCACAAGGAGGCTGCCCGGACCAATGGGTACCCGAGGGGAGACCGGCGGCGGGACGTGGGGCTGCCCCCAGACAGCACGTCCACTGCCCTGAGCAGCGAGCTCGAGTCCAGCAGCTTTGTGGACTCAGATGAGGATGGCAGCACGAGCTGGCTGAGCAGCTCCACGGAGCAGAGCAAGTCATCCAGGCTCATCCGGAAGCACAAGCTCCGGTGGAGGAAGCAGCGCCTGCGGCAGACGGACCGGGCCTCCTCCTTCAGCAGCATTACGGACTCCACCATGTCTCTCAACATCGTCACCGTCACGCTCAACATTGAGAGACACCACTTCCTTGGCATCAGCATCGTGGGGCAGAGCAACGATCGCGGAGATGGCGGCATTTACATAGGTTCCATAATGAAGGGCGGAACAGTGGCCGCTGATGGTCGAATTGAGCCCGGGGACATGCTGCTGCAGGTAAATGATGTGAACTTTGAGAACATGAGCAACGACGACGCTGTGCGGGTTCTTCGGGAGATTGTGTCCCAGACAGGACCCATCAGTCTTACCGTGGCCAAGTGCTGGGACCCAACAGCCAGAAACTACTTCACCGTCCCAAGGGCTGACCCGGTGTGGCCCCTCGACCCTGCTGCCTGGCTGTCCCACAGGGCGGCACTGACAGGAGCCCTGCCCCGCTACAGTAGGAGCCCCTGCTCCAGCACCGTCATGCGCACAAGCTCCTCCTCACTAACCAGCTCCGTGCCTGGCGCTCCACAGTTGGAGGAGGCGCCGCTGACGGTGAAGAGTGACATGGGCGCTGACGTCTGGGTCATGCAGCTGCCGGACTCGGGACTGGAGATTCGTGACCGCATGTCCCTCAAGATCACCATCGCCACACCGTCATCGGAGCGGACGTGGTGGACTGGCTGTACACGCACGTGGAGGGCTTCAAGGAGCGTTGGGAGGCCTGGAAGTACGCCAGCAGCTTGCTGAAGCACGGCTTCCTGCGGCACACGGTCAAGAAGATCACCTTCTCCTAGCAGTGCTACTACGTCTTCGGGGACCTGTGTAGCAATCTCAGGGCCCTGAACCTCAACAGTGGCTCCAGCGGGGCCTCGGATCGGGACACGCTGGCCCCGATGCCCCACCCGACCACCACCCCCTGGCCCCTGGGTCAGGGCTACCCCTACCAGTACCTGGGACTCCCGCCCTGCTTCCCACCTGCCTACCAGGACCCGGGCTTTAGCTATGGCAGCGGCAGCACTGGGAGACAGCAGAGTGAAGGGAGCAAGAGTAGCGGGTCTGCCCGGAGCAGCCGCCGGGCACTGGGCCGTGAGAAGGAGCGTAGCGTCGGGTGGCATGAGCTGGGGGCAGCGGCAGCGAATCGGACCACACGGCACCGAGTGGGGTGGGCAGCAGGTGGCGGGAGTGTCCAGCTGGCCAGCTCAGCCGAGGAATAAGCCCACGCAGTCAGGCTTCAGCCACTACCCCGGGGCTTCCCACACCCCACCCCGTGACCAAGGCCTATATGGTGGTCGGGGGCCTGCCTGTCCGGGAGCTGGCCACCATCCCCCCAGAATTGACAGGCGCCGCCAGTCCTTCCAAAAGGCCATGGGGACCCCCTGCGAGTTTTTCGTGGACATCATGTGATCTGTGTGCGTGCCCACAGTCCTGCCTGGGGCAGGGAGCTGGCGGTCCTGGTGCATGCAGAGCTCGAGAGGGTTAGCCTTAGTGGAGGCAAGCTGGACCATCGCAGTCACCTGCCTGGCAGCCCGGCGGCTCCAGCTCCTGGAAGCAGCTGTGTCTGAGCAGCCGCGTTGGGGTGTTCCCTCTTTGCTCCTCAGTGAGAGCCTCCGGGACCTCCCAACCCCTTGTGTCTGGTGGTGACCCCTCCTAGGACGAGGAAGACCCCCTTGGGCTCCGGGCTAACCCCCACACCTCCTGCACAGTGGTGCACAGGCCCCCTGAGGGACCCATGAGGTGCACCCCTGCAGTGCACAGGCCCATCCCTCTGACCCTGATGGGGCCTCCTGCAGGTGGAGCAGAGCCCCCAGGTCCCTCCTGCTGTCTGGGGAAGGGATCTAATTTATTTATTTATTGCCTGGCCGGTGCCTCAGTGGAAGAGGTGGCCCTACCAGCTGTCCTACCTGCCCCACCCTTTGGAGCAGCCTGCACCTTCCCACCTCTCCTTCAGCCACCCAGTCGAGTCTGAATGTGTGGAGGATGGGACAGAAAGACGAGGGCTGGACGTCCTGCCCACCGCATCCCAGCCAGGGCAGAGAGGGTCTGTGGTCCTCGGGGTCAAGGGGCCCTGATGTGCACAGCTGCTGCAGGGAGAGAGGTCTTGGGGAGATGAGCGGTCAGCTGGCCCATCCTTGGTGAACGCACACACACTGCCAGCACGCACCATGGCCCGCACACACTGGCCCCCACTGTCTGCGCTGTAGATAATGTATCAAAGTCCCAGCGTCTAGATGGTTAACATA